GCGCGCTCACACCCCTACACCCACATTCCATTCACCGACACTTTAGCCGCTGGATCAGCTCCCGATCAAGTCCTGAAGTTGTCCATAACATCAAAGCATCTCCACTTCATAAGCTTTCAATCAAACCACTTTCGGGGAAAATAAAAACTATACTTTTCGAGTTATCGTTTCCCGAAAGCCAACACATTCACGTCTCATTGACACATTCATTGTCCACTGGATCAGCTCCAGGAAATATCCCAAAGTTTTCCTTTCAATCAGCTGTTCTCCACATCATAATCTTTCGATTCATCCATTTTCGAGAACTTTCAAGCCATAGTTTTCGAGATATCACCTCTCAAAGTCGAAACTCATTCATTCATAGCGCGCGCCCTCTCTGAACACCTAACCTCAACACAAGAACCGTCACAATTTTATTAAACTTTAATACTGAGTAATACTTTAAATATTTAATTAAATAATTACAAAATGTTTTATAATTAGCAAAAGTAAAAGCCATTAATTATCATTTATTATGGACTTTCTTGAAGTAAGTCTCGACCCGATATCGGTCTACAAATGTTGGAAATAATTGAGTTTTAAAACAAATAAATTTTAAATGCAAAATGTGTTCACAATTCAGTAAAAATACCGTTTCATGGAAACAATGGCATTCGTTGTGCATTTCCTCTGTTGTGAACTCTTTTCATATGAGACTCGAAATTATTTTTGCTAAAAAACTGTTTACCGCACCCGACGTACAGACACTTATGGGACTTCACATTCAAATGCCTGTCCATATGCTCGGACAGCAACACCTTAGCCGAGTAGTTCTGACCACACTCTGGCCACGAGCACCGGTAGATGCGATCGTGACGGCGCTTATGGCGCTTTAGGTCACGCTCTGTAGCGTAACTCAATCGACAGCCTTCGACAGCGCACTTGAACTCCCGGTCCGTCGGGTTGGTTACGGTATGCACTTTCACCACGTGTTGGTTCAACTCGTAGGACGTGTAGTACCGCATTGGACAGCCGACGGTCGGACACGCGAATGGCTTAATATTCTGGTGACGATTGGTGTGAACGTCAAGATATTTCTGGGTTTTCGTGGCGAACGTACAGCCGGGCCAACAGCACTTGTAGGGCATGTCATCCGAGTGGACATTACGGCGATGTTTATTCATATAACGCTTATTCTTGAACCACTTCCCGCATTCCACACATTCGGACCTCTCGTTGAGTAACTCGTTCTCCGATTTGATGGCCTTCTTGTCGCAGATTTGATGATACCTTCGGTGACACTTCAGGAACTTTTCAATGGCGAAGCGTTTGTCACAATCGGGGCATTGAAATGGCTTCTCGTTGGTGTGGGCGGCGCTCATGTGTGCCATCAGATCGTCGCGTTGGCCAAACCGTCGGTCACAGCCCTCCCAATCGCACGCAAAGTTTTTGGGCGACTTATTTGTGTACTTTTTATGGGTTCTGTTGTGAAGCCGGAGGTCTTTATCCGAACCAAAACTCTTGCCGCAGCCCTCAAACGGACACTTGTATTGTCCGCCACTCGAGTGAATGAGTTGATGTCTCTCCAGATTGTCCTTCACCTTATAGGCGGCGCCGCAGTCGGGCCACGAGCACCGGTACGGCCGCTCACCCGAGTGTACATTCCTCTGGTGTTTCTTCAAATTGCCGTTCAATCTGAAAGTCTTACTGCAGTTGTCGTAATCGCAGCGGAATGGCCGTAACTGGTCAGCAGCTGATCCAAACTCGCCATCAATATTGGACTTCTTGTGGTCATTGTCCGACATTATCGTCCGCTTTACACGCCTTTTGATCGTCCATTTCTTTGCCAACTTATAGCCATTCGTACGATTAGTCATCAACTCATTCTTCTTCGGTCGGCCCCTCTTCTTCTTCGGCGCCTCGTATTCATCGCCAGATGTGTCCATATCTTCGGCCAAAGTCTGGTTATATTCCTCTTCATTCGCTGAGTAGTTGTCTTCACTACCGCTGAAGACATTAATCTCTCGCTTAATAAGTGGTCTAATGGTATGTTTTGAGGCAAATGTGATGTCAGCGGGAGTTTCGGTCACCGCTTTGAGCTGTTCCTCCATCTGTTGTCTGTGAAGACATTCCTCGGCTTTAATGGTGTTGTAAATGATCTCCAAATCATTAAACTTGGATTCATTGCCGATATTGTGGTCACAAATACACGTGTT